AGACCTATTATCCACCACGACTTTATGAAAAAACCTTGCAATTGAACGACAAACAATAGTCTTTTTTTATTCACAACAAAATTAATATTATTCAATTGAACCACATTTTTTACTATTTTGCCACCCAATCAAAATAAAAACGATTGGCAATTTTTATTAAAGTAAGAACGATTGGCACGACCCATTCTTAACCCAAGTACTAACCGGATGAATCATACAAAAGTAAATAAAAACAAATTAAAACGTCAAGAGAATGCATTTAAGTCCGTGAAAGTGAGAAAAAGAAGATAAGAAGTTGCAGTTTCCCTTGTCCACTCAATCCACAGTCTTATTTTATTTATTTTTATATTCTTGAGATATCTCTATATTTTGTCTCCAACTTCAAAAAGAATATTAATAGTTTTGTATTTTTACTCGTCATGAGTGGTACCAAAAATGATTTTTTTGGATCTATTAGTTATGTTATCTTCAGTTATCTATGATTTTTCTTATATTCGTCTAAATCTACATACCATAACTTTTTGTCCATGGTCCAAGTTCAACGTGCATTCAATGTTATATTCGGCCAAATTTGAAAATATGCTGAGTAATACTTAAATTTCGGTCGGTGGCTTGAAGAATAACTAATTTTACATGACCTATATCATGCTAGGTAGGTCAAATGATTTATACATGTGAGTAAAGATAAACTACACACACAACAATTAGTAGCTATCGATAACATCACTTGCCAAGTATATGATGTTTACATAGAACTGCATGTTGCTTGATAAATACGAACGTTACATGTTTAAACGAATCAAAAACATATTAGTTTGTAACAACATTTTGTTCGAATAAAAAAAATACGGAACACTTGCCGTTTCAAGCTATTAGGGTGATAAGTGGTATATAGTATTATTTTTTCAAGTATTACATGTTGTGGTTTCGGATCAAAGATAGATTATTATTTGCAATACTTCTTAAAAAGTCAAACGTTATTACATTCGATAAATAAATCACCGATCTAAAAATAGACTAACAAAGTTAAATGCAACAAATCAAAGAGAGAGAGATTATGTTAAAATAGTAAGAACAAAAAAAAATGTCACAATCATCGGTCCCTGATCTCCGGTGCCGGTACCCACCCGTTGTAATCAACTATTTAATTTCCGACCATCCTATTACCACTATATTAAATTTATAAACTCCAAAAAAAAAAAACAAAAGTAACGTCAGATATTGCCCCTACAACCACAGTCAAATCTGCAAAAATATGGTTACAAATCTT